TCTCGATGGGAATAATGTGATTCCCTAATTTCAGAATTGGTTTTGGGGGGTTTCTCTCTCTACTAAACACAACGGCCTTACATTTCTTTGGGTGAAACTGAAATCTCCATTTGCAGCTATAATCAAAAACTTTACGCAGTAGAACCTGCATTGTATTACCATGATATGCTAATAAGTTCATGTCATCAGAAAACGTGGGGCAGCTACATACAACATTTCCTATAGAACATCCAGTCATACTATCACATATCTCATTTAATAGTTCATTGGTGTACCTTGCGTATAATTCCATTGACCAAACACCACCTTGGTGCACACCCTGCTCCACAGGAAACAGATCTGAAATATTTGCATTTTCACTTAGAAACCGAGATATTGCTTGGGGAATATTTAAATCCTCTTTAACTGCTTTAAACATTGAGTCTATGTTCACATTCAATTTAATAGCACATTTATATCCATCATAACAATTTCTTAGCATTCTCCATAGTTTGCCGTTTATTCCCTGTTTATACATTTTATGATACAACCCAATATGCCAAACGCCATCAAAAGCTTTTTTAATGTCTAATGACGTCACAATGACATTATTACCGTTTTCTAAACCTGTTGCTATTGCTTCTCTTGTAACAAGAGATGTGTGAAGACTAGAACATTTGGCCTTGTTAACACCTTGCATGTTTGAAACCTCTTCTGTTTGTGCACATAATTGGCTTCTTGACATCATAATTCTCTCGAACATTTTCATGTACGTGGTCATCAATGTAATGCCACGATGGTCATCTTTTGATAAGATGTCCTTGTTACCACCCTTGAAGAGAGGTATGAGCAGTCCTAGCTTAAAACTTTCTGGGACATATTCAGTGCGTACCATCTCATTGTACAGAAGTGTTAGAGCTTGGATTAATAAATCTCCCCCATTCTTAATGTGCTCCGGTGTAATTTGATCCCACCCGGGAGCTTTCCCATTTTTTTACTTGGATGTGATTAGATGTACTTCATTGCACGTTAATGCCTCTGTGAAAGCTCCGTCGTCATTGTTAAAACTGTCTCGTTTCATTTCATCTACTTCATTATTAATCATCTTTTCAAATTCGCTGTCATATGGTGTATCTTTCTTGAGGGACACTAGCTTCTCAAAATAGGACTTCCATTCCATTAGTACTTCATCGGGCTCAGTGAGCACTAGTCCTTCATCATTTCGTATTGCGATGGATTTACACAAATTACCCTTGCGTTGTTTGATCAAGTACCAAAACTTGTTTAAGGATAAATCTGCAGCGTCATCAATTTCCTTTTGACACTTAATTTCAAAATCATATTGAGCCCTACGGATTGCCTTTCTAAACATTCTTTTTGCGTCCTTGTAAGCCTTCCAATATGCATTTTCTGGCTCTCTAGATTTTCCATAGAACTTCCATCTATTCCACGTCATTTTCTTTTGTTTCAAGCATTCTTTTACAGTCTCCGTCCAATATGGTTTTAAATGTTTGTTGAACCTTGATTTTGGTAAGGACTGGGAGGTTACATCATTAATTATATCGGACAATTCATTAAAAAATAGTTCAATGTCCATGTTTGACATACTGCCACTTTTATTCATATCTCGTATCTCGTATGCTGTTACTGATCTGATCAGGACCCGTGACTTTGTTTGACTGGATAAAATATTGACAATGTTTTCAGTTCTTGGGTCTATGTGGATGTTACATAAATCATCATTACGATGAAAATTTTTAATAAAATGAGATAAAAATAAATTAGCCGTGTCATGGCCTTTAACAATATATTTCCCATGTTGGTCAAAAAGTTATGGTATTTTTGATTTGCCGAGAAGTTTGGATATTATGGCCCAGTATGACATACTGCCATATTTAAAAGTTGATAATTTCTTTCGCATGTTTCAGTCAAATGCATCTTCAGCCTCATTTATTGCTTGATTCACGAGGGTATATTGTTCATTATATTTGTTTAAGTATGTGAAATTGTGAGATTTTCGATATTTGGAATTGTTTATTCCTTTTGTTAATCATAAGCTTTTTACATTAACGATAGTATTAGGAATTCGGTCCAAAAATTGTCAAAAGCTTGTTGCTAAAATTTTCAACAAGGATTTCGATGTTGTTTGAAGGTTCAATGAGGTCATCAAATCGGGCTCTCCTGGTGGCAAGAGATAGGTCCCTGCGGTCCCTCGGGTTATACACAGATTTTCCTTGGGATAAACTCTGTATCCAAGACCCTTATATATTCCCCGGTCGGGTCCTTACCGAAAGGACTTTCATGGCCAAGGTATGTTATTAGGGCTTTGTGCTATCTACGTCTCTAGAAAAGATAATATCGATCTCTCTTCTAGCGCCATCTATTCAACAATAAACTACTCAAAACTGTTCAACATTCCAAGAATTCAATATCAACTATGACTTTGAGTATAGTCAATATACAAGAAATCAAACTTTTACAGTTGAATAGTACAGTGTAAGTTTAAATTGATCATGGGCCATTCACCTTTCATCGGAGTCAGTGTAGGTTTTAAGTAAAATAACCCATTTTAAGAACATAAAATGAAGTATTCAAGATCATTTCTTACTAGAAGTCATTCTAGCTTACTCATCTCGACCTATTGCAATATAAATGTTACAACTGAATTGACATATGTTAATATACGACACTTAAGGGCACAGTCTTATCAACGTTTAAGATAATGTTTTGTGGGACAAGGAGATAGTGAAGACAAACCGTACTTAGACAACAAGTCCCCAAGTTGGCATCGTGCTCTATCAACTGTCATATTACACTCTATGCAGACTGTGCTATACATAGTTCAAGCGGTACGGATATCATGTGAGCAAGGTGCGGATATTAACGGTGATTTTTGAATTTTTTAAACAGCATTCATTCAATATTGGTGATCGAGATGACCTATCAATACAAATTATATTTGCATTTTTAGAGTAAAAAAATTTCTGTGTGATTTATACAAAATGGGAAAGATTTTACAAAAATGTGCTACCTCTAAACATGCGGTTCGGATGTCCGCGGATGTCCATAAAGTGACGATATTTGCACCACTTGTTTAGAGGTAGCACATATCTGATAAATGTTTTTAATTTTTTTTTAATTCACATAGAAAGCTTATGACTTTCAAAAATGCAAAAAATAATTTTTAATAACTCTGATCACTAATACTGAATGAGGCTGTAAGCTATGTAACAAAAGCAGTAATTACAAATTCTTGAATACTAAGTGCGTGTTTAAAGAATGAAGAATACAACTAAAGACAAAATTTCTCTTTTATTAGGTATCCTCGGCAAATGGATGACAATAATTGAGTACCCAACATGCCTTAGTATATGAAATATCACAAATTCAAATTCAAAGTGACCGTTAGTATCCACACTTGCGCACGTGATATCCGCACCACTTGTTTTCGTATAGCACTCTGTATAGGGTGTAGTAGTACTGATTTATTAAGCTGAAATTTAAAAATGGCGAGGGATGTCAATCTATTTCTTATATTGATATTTTGTAAATCTGAAGTCTTTTGGTTTTACCAGTATTCTTTTTCTTTCACGCAAGTTTTCTCACTAACTAGAAGAGCTTACTTTAATCTGAATCTGCTTTCATGGTTAACTGAGGAATGTGTCTGGAATCATAGGAAAGTCAAATTGTTCAAGAACCATATCAATTCTTGAGTTTTTTTTAATATTTCACCACTTTTTCAATAGTTCTAGCTCTGGGTTTTTATCATGATCCTTGAAAAAACAAATTCCGAAAGGCAAATCGTTTTTTTATATCTCTTAATAGGTTTTCTGAGAAATTAGAGTTAACTGCTCGGCTCTTTACTCAGCTATCTATATCTAGATCAAATCAATCTTGAGTCTTAGATTTAACTTTCAATTGTTCAATTTACCATTCTAGTTATATTACATGTATATATTTGACGCTAACATAGTTAACGGTTTATGGGAATAATACATCATGCTATAAGCGAGTTGCGAAATCTCTCTGATGAACTTTGGACTTTGTTTATATTTTATTGTATTTTATAACTCAAGCAATGTTTATTATTTCAACTGAGACTTTCACCATATACATTCGTTTTATGCTGAACTCATATTCGGTCATGACGGGCTCATCCTTACTCCTGTTAAGACCGAATTGACTAACATTTACTCAAACATGTACAGGGTGTCCAATTAATAAGATGAACAATTTTTTTTACTCTCTTAGTGTTGCACCAATTTTTATAAAACATTAAGGAGGTTTTAACCCAAACCTTTTAACCTTTATTTCATAAATTTCAAGCTTTGCCCATTCGATTGGCATGGTTACTATAGCAACCAAAACAAACAATTGCAGTAATAGTCATAAAGATAATTACGCATTTTTGAATGCAAAAGGACAAATTAAATTCAACTGACATACATATGTTACCAATGTGATATGGTTGTTAGGTGACTTCTGTGATAACATAATGATTTTTTGTTGTATTTTATGAGGTCATCGATATATCTTTCTTAAACATGTTCTTCAGGTTGGATTATTAAATCACAAAAATATTTTTTCTTCTTTTCACAACCTTTATTTTACTAGGACGTTTCGGATCCTGTCTGGATCCCTTTTCAACTGTATAAAAACTGAACTGAAGCGCTACAATACAATGAAATAAAAACACTATTACGTCATATTAATTCACCAAAAAAGTATGATAATAATATGAACAGGGATCAAGAAAACTATAAATTGGAGGGAATTTGGAATGAATTTTTGGTGAATTAATCCAGCCTTTTTGTTGTTTCAGTTACTATACTAACCATGAGTCACACCAATCAAATAGGACATTTTCGAAGTTTGCAGAATCCATGTGAAAAGGTTTATTTTGCACCTTGTACAAATGACATTAAGATTGGTGCGATATTAAGAAAGTTACAGTTTCATTCATCTTATTTATTGCTCACCCTATACATGTCCTGGTTGAGCTATTAAGCTGGAATTTCACAATGGCGAGGGGTGTCAAATTACTTCTTATATGGATATTGTGCAGAGGTTAGTATCTTTATGCAAAAAAATCCTGTATCGTTTATATCGGATATATAAAAGCATGAACGAATTTACAACCCCATCCTATTCACATAATCCACGAAGATAAAGACTGAGTGCATTATCAGAATGGGTTGGTATATACACGATTGCTTTAACGAATATGATGCAACAAACTAATTTAACAAAATCATGATTCTAGAATAATTATGCGCATAGCTGATATCCTAATATTTGGAGAATACTAACTGAAGGCAGGCAACTTTAATTCACAACAGTGGTGCTCAGTAGCACTAATAACATGTAATAATCATCCTATGTAGATTGTACGAAAACAAGCGATGTGGATATCATGGGCGCACGGTGCGGAAATTAGGGGTCATTTTTGAATATGGATTCGTGATATTTCACAAACTAAGGCACGTTGGGTATTTAGTTATGTTTCATAGTGAAAGTTGAAAGGTTTCAGTGTGGTTTTATACAACATGGGAAACATCAAACGAAAATGTGCTACCTCTGAGCAAGCGGTGCGGATATACGTTAAGTGACGATAGCTGCATGCTTGTTCAGAGTTTCAAGATATCTGACCAATGTTTTCATTCTTTTAAAATTCACACAGAAAATTTATGAGTCTCAAAATGCAAAATGGGTCATCTTGATCACCAATTGAAGGCTGTAAATGGTGTACGTCTTTGAGATGATAATACATTTTAAGATATCTTTTTGAGTACATTTCAAATCAATTCTCAATATAAAGCGTTCACGAAAAGGTATCTGAAATGTCTAAGTGCGATGTTACATAAGTACGTTAAGATAAACTTGTCCTTAACAATCTTGGAACAAGATATATAATCAATAATATACGAGGGTTGTCCCAGAAGTAATGCACTATATGCTCTAACTTTCTTTAATATTCTTCAATTCAGCTGAAATTTTGTGTATATAACAATTGAAGTTTTATCTATTATATCCTGAATTTCAGCATGAAATATTAATATTAATTATCACATGCTCTGTAAAATTCCAGTAATCTGATTGGTTGATTACCGTGTGAGTTTTCCCGTCTCACACGGCCGTCTCACACGTTACTAGAGGCAACCAGTGATGATCAATAGCAACGATGTGACGTCACTGATTATATCACTTCTAGCTAAGGAAAACAATATGACGTCATAATATTTCACAAACAAGTACGAATACAACGGTATGACGTCATATTGTTTCAAAGCGAAATCAAAAATTATAATAGTTACCAGAAGTACACCAGGTACTGAACACAATCATAACTGACCAAATCAAAATGCTTCAAGATTCCTAGACATGTGATAAAATCGTCATCACACGTTTCAGCTTATGTGATACAGGAAATATTCCACTCGGGTAACAATGTATCACCACTCAAGCTTCGCTTTCGTGGATGATACAGTATTACCTTTCGTGGAATATTTCCTGTATCACATGCTGAAACGTGTGATAACTGATAGTCTTAATATGATTGGTATAGCAACATGGGGGTAGGGGTGGGCGGGGCAGGTACCAATTTTTCTAATTATGATAAGATCCAAAGTGGAATTTCATTTCATCTCTTTCTTTTAAATGACCAAAATGTTTCGGAAATTGTTGAATTTATTCAGCATGATGTTAACCAAGTACAAATAATGACATTTAGCACTGTCGTGTCATAATACCACAGTTCAATAGTCACAAATTCAAATACAGTCCAAGTCAAGAAATTGCAAAATGGCTGCAATTCTCACCTGATAACAGAAGGCCTTGCGTTTGGTGGCCTAATTCCATACTTCACTTGGACTCACAGCCACGCAAAACTGAAACTTAATGAAGAAAGTAAAAAAGGAGTATACACCAGATAGAACTACACTCATGAGGTGGCAGGAGAGATTTAAAAGAGATGACTGGACCCTGGATGACAACTCCAAACAGAATTAAGATTCTACGCCATTTTGAAATTTGCACTTGTCAGTATGCACATTAATGCAGATCGATCAAACATACTTTCAAAACGTCCTACCCACCTATCTACCTACCCTACCCTAGCTACCTACTTTCCTACCTACTCAGCAACTTATACTTAGCTACTTACTCAGCTATTAACTCAACTACTCAATCAGTTACTAGCTTAGCTAGTTACCCAGCTACCTAGTACCTACTCACCATTTTTTCAGCTATTTACTCAACTACTACTAAGGTACTCATTCACTTAGTTACTCAGTTACTTTGTTACTCGGCTCTTTACTCAGCTATCTAGATCAAATCAATCTTGAGTCTTAGATTTAACTTTGTTCAATTTACCATTTTAGTTATATTATATATTTGACGCAAACATAGTTAACGGTATACGGGAATAATACACATGCTATAAGCGAGTTGCGAAATCTCTCTGATGAACTTTGGACTTTGTTTATATTTTATTGTATTTTATAACTCAAGCAAGGTTTATTATTTCAACTGAGACTTTCACCATATACATTTGTTTTATGCTGAACTCATATTCGGTCATAACGGACTCATCCTTACACCTACTGTTTTAAACATGTTAAGACCGAATTAACTTACCTTTACCCTACATGTACAGGGTGTCCAATTAATAAGTTGAACCATATTCTTACTTTCTTAGTGTTGCACCAATTCTTATGAAATATTAGGGAGGGTGTAACCCAAACCTTTTAACCTTTATTCTGTAAATTTCAAGCTTTTCCCATTCGATTGGCATGGTTGCTATAGCAACCGAAACAAACAATTGTAGTAACAGTCATAAAGATAATTACGCATTTTGGAATGCAAAAGGACAAATTAAATTCAACTGACACTGGATGCATACATATTTAACCAATGTGATATGGTTGTTAGGTGACTTCTGTGATGACATAATGATTTTTTGTTGTAGTTTATGAAGTCATCGAGATATTTTTTCTCATAAGAACATTTATACATCACGCACATTGGAGAAGTTTCTGCTGCAGAAGACAATGCTCCCGCACATACAGCATTGCTCACTAGTGATACTACTAGGACTACCCCTACTCGGAGACCCCCTATATTCCACTGACCTGGAGATCAATGACTTCTATTTATTTATATGCTGAACTCAATCGTGACTTGAGGGGAAATGCATTCGCAAGGACAGATGAACTCAGATCAAATGCCTTGGGAAGACTTTAGGAAATGAACAAGAATGGCTTTGAAAGTGTGTTCTGAGAGAATGTGTGACAAGGCATGACAAAGCTATAGCTAAAGATGGACACAATGTTGAACAGCCTATTTTCATAAATATGGGACTTTAAAGCTGTTTTATATGTTGTATTTGTGGCAGTTATATACCTGGAAATGAAAATACAAGCAAAATTAAATATTATGTTTGAAAAGTTGTGACATAAACAAACCTGTCCCGCCTTTTTGTTTAATCGGTTACTACAGTTACCATGAGTCTGAACAATCAAATAGGACATTTTGAAATTTGCAGAATCCATGTGAAAAGGTTTATCTTGCACCTTGTACAAATTATATTAGATTGGTGCAATATCAAGAAAGTTACAGTTTCTTTCATCTTATTTATTGTTCACCCTGTACACGTCCTGGTTGAGTTATAAAGCTGGAATTTCACAATGGCGAGGGGTGTCAATTTACTTCTTATTTGGATATTCTGCAGAGGTTAGTATGTTTATGGAAAAAATCCTGTATCATTCTATATCGGATAATAAGCATGAGTGAATGAACAACCCCATCCTATTCACATAATCCACGAAGATAAAGACTGAGTGCATTATCATAATGTTGAATAGCCTATTTTCATAAAAATGGGACTTTAAAGCTGTTTTATATGTTGTATTTGTGGCAGTAATATACCTGGAAATGAAAATACAAGCAAAATTAAATATTATGTTTGAAAAGTTGTGACATAAACAAACCTGTCCCGCCTTTTTGTTTAATCGGTTACTACAGTTACCATGAGTCTGACCAATCAAATAGGACATTTTGAAATTTGCAGAATCCATGTGAAAAGGTTTATCTTGCACCTTGTACAAATTATATTAGATTGGTGCAATATCAAGAAAGTTACAGTTTCTTTCATCTTATTTATTGTTCACCCTGTACACGTCCTGGTTGAGTTATAAAGCTGGAATTTCACAATGGCGAGGGGTGTCAATTTACTTCTTATTTGGATATTCTGCAGAGGTTAGTATGTTTATGGAAAAAATCCTGTATCATTCTATATCGGATAATAAGCATGAGTGAATGAACAACCCCATCCTATTCACATAATCCACGAAGATAAAGACTGAGTGCATTATCAGAACGGGTTGGTAGTCATGATTCTAGAATAATTATGCGCATAGCTGATATCCCAATGTTTGGAGAATACTTATTAACTGAAGGCAGGTAACTTTAATTCACAACAGTGGTGCTCAGTTCCATTAATAACATGTAATAATTAATGTACGGAAATAAGCGATGTGGATATCATGTGCGCACGGCCGGTGTGGAAATTAGCGGTCATTTTTGAATTTGGATTCGTGATATTTCACAAACTAAGGCATGTTGGGTAGTCAATTATGTTTCATATTGAAAGTTGAAATGTTTCTGTGTGGTATTATACAACATGGGCAATATCAAACGAAAATGTGCTACCTCTGAACAAGTGGTGCGGGTATACGTTAAGTAACGATATCTGCAAATAGGTCATCTTGATCACAAATACTGACTGAAGGCTGTAAACGGTGTACAATTTTGAGATGATAATACACATTTTAAGATATCTCTTTGAGTACATTTCAAATCAATTCTCAATATAAAGCGTTCACGAAAAGGTATTCGAATTGTCTAAGTGCGATGTTACAGAATTACGTTAAGATATACTGGTCCTTAACAATTCCTTTGGGGACAAGATATATAATCAATAATATTTTTTCTTATTTATACACCGACACGTGCCAATGAATGTGACATGAATAAATATTTCCATTCTAAATTATCGATAAATGTTGTCATCTACAGCTGCACTACAGCTGCAATTTTTGGTAACTGAACAACTACAACACAACTGTTAACAATTTAAGTTAATAATAAAGTTTTCCTTGGTGGTCTAACATCGGACGAGATGATAACCCGTTTTGAGCATTGAGTATTAGAGGTAAACTATGGATACTTGTAACCGTAAGTCGGCATGTATTCAACAGTAAAGATACAGTTAAGTTTAAGTTTAAAATATTTTATTTCTGTGTCACAGGTTGAAAAACTACATTTCAATAACATATTATAATAAATACTTTTTTGAAATATGGAAATGTTTCGATATGCTAAAGATAAATTATCACCATTTTCTTGTATATAGGGGTTAATGTTGTCTCTAGCTCAGACGAGAGGACAGTGGTGCCTCTGGTAAGCACAGCAAATGGTAAGGTACAAGGAACAATGAATCATGCTGTAGACAGTAGCAGACCTGTATATGCATTCTATAGTATACCATATGCAGAGCCACCAACAGGAAGCAACAGGTTTCAACCACCCATACCAGCTAAACCATGGACTGGTACTAAGGATGCTACAAAAATACGTAAGGCTTTAAATTCCAATGCCAAAATCCCTAATTTACACATTTCACTTAATTGTTTTTGGGGTCCTTTTGGACACCAGAGCACATTCTTTGCAATAATTATATCTGAAATAATTATTCTCTCTACAGGAAAGTCCATCTAATCCTCAATTAATTCATTTTCTTTCTGATTAAACGAACCAGTACATTTTTGTACTACCTGAGGTCAAAGAACATCACATTTACTCATATTTTCTAGCATTAAAGATATATAGAGGATATCCTATGATTTATGAGTGATATGATTTTTATCCACGAATGGATATGATATCTGCACGGGCGAGCGTAGCGAGAGAGTGCAGATATTAATATCCATGAGTGGATTAAAATCATAGCACGAGTAAAACATAGGATGTTCTTTTTATTCCATAGTTATCATCAGAATCATCATTATCGAAGTTATCATCAGAATCGTCGGAAATTAAATGATTTAATTCGAATTTTCCAAACGATCCGGCGATATTGACACTTAGCCTCGTTTTGAGTCTGAAGAAGCAAAAATCCATAATTCATAGCATACGGCGCCGTATGTCATGGCTAAAACACCTACATTTATGCTATGGTTAAATGGAAATTTGTCAAAAACATCATATTTTACCACTTATGATTACAAAAATACCGTTTTTATTTTGACATGTTATCCTATGAATATCATGCTAACTATGGAATAAATAAGCATATATTTATTATTAACTTTTTCAAAACTGAATTCAGAATGAAAAAATATTTTCTGATTGATATGTTCACAATAGGACTCCCTATTAATTTTAACAGCCTGGAACCAAGAAACCTTTTAGGAACACATTCTAGAACGAGCAATATATAAATCTAGTTTCATAAGGGGCTTTATGTAATTTAGGTGTCCTCTAAATTTTAGGCAAATTTTCTAGTTTTTCTCTTGGTTTGATCTTCTATTTAAAAAGACTAGATGGTTGTTGACTATTTCAACCTTGCTAGTATTAATCTTAACATTTGTAGTATCATCCAATGCCGCCATAACAACAGACAAATTAAATATATCTTGAAAACATTCAAAATTTCTATTAGCTATATGTCCTAATTTCCAATATCTTTCATTTAGTGACGACTCATCAACATGTTCAAGTCTAGCTCTATCTTTAGCATATTGAAATCAAGCAAACCGATCAATAAATTAAGAGACTCTTGTAATATGTTTCAATGTATTCTGCCAACACCCATGCTGCCATCTGTTTTTCCATTTGAATAGAAAATGGTCAATAACAGGAACTTTGATCAAATTGGTAGTACATTTATAAATACTCTTGTCTCTAAGAACATATATGTTAATTACTCCAGTGGGTGCTTTATATTACTTGATAAACATTTAAAACGCTAGTCGGCTGGAAATATTTACAAAGACGTTTAATCTTCTATATGATTGTCGATAGGACCTGCAATACATGTAGATCTAGTGACACCAGTAATTACGCCATATGCTGTTTCTTTACTAATACTATATGAATTCAACAGGTAACTACTGTATACAAGATCAAGATGGATGGAATGAACTTTGCCAAACATTAAAATTTCCAATGAAATCACCAGCTGATCCAGCATCTTACTCGGAGGATTGCCTAGAACTTGATGTTTATACTCCCGATGTTAATGCAAAACTTCCAGTAATGTTCTGGATACATGGCGGAGGGCTCAATGGTGGTAAGTCAACAACCTCTAGATGGTACCTATAAGTTTATTTCTAGCTTATTGTATTGCTCAAAAGATAATGTTTGAAAGAATTTTTTTCGATGAATTTACAACATCTTTGAATTTAACATCTTTTGTAAAATCAAGACTAACTAACGCCTGTCGCCTACCGGATTTACCTCCTATTTTATGAGCAACCCATTTAAATATGAATGGAATAGTTGCAGGTACTATTCATATCTAAATGAGTTGGTCATAAAACAGTAAGTCAATCCGGTAGCCGCTAACCGTTAGTTGTATTCGCGAATACCGGTCGTCAATACTGACGATTGGCGAAGTTTAAAGATCTAATAGCAAAGGTTTTGCAAAAATAAATCAATGCAGTGTAAAACAAATGTATGTATAATGAAGAAATAAATATTTAATGAAAAAAATAGATATGTGTTTGTAATATTGGTATTAACTTAAGATTAAAAAGTGTCACTATCTCTTTCATTTTTCAACAAATATAGGCTCACGTGACATATGACGCGGGGCAGTCAATTTTGATCTATCGTAGACCATATCAGTATCAAACTGCCGATATTTCAACCTCGTCTTGCGAGGCCATTTTTATTTGAAACATCTTGAATTTGGTGTCAAAATAAAGCTGGTCACGCCCACTTTCAGAGTTATCAATGAATCATTTACTACGACTCCTATATTCATTTAGGAGGCGTGTAAAGTTAACCAATCAGAAAGACAATTGCTCCATATATGACAGTTCATTAACATATTCAGTGTTTACTATTGTTTTTCGCGTCATGACAACACGCGTAGTAACCAATCAAAATGCCGTATTTTATCACGTGAGTTCAGAGTGACATGCACGACATGTAAGTTTAGTCTGAGCTGATCGCGATGTTGAACAATTTCTTCTCGGAATTTGTCCAGAGAAATCAGCGATTCTAAATTAAGGTAGGATCTCCCATTTCTTCCTGTACAAGTTTTTACTTATCTCTATCGAATCCTAAAGTTTTGGATGAAGATATGAAGCATACGTTTAAAAACGAAGCGATTAATTTGACGATCTGATTTTGCAATTTGCAATGGCCAATTTACTGCGTGTCGTAGTCTGCGTGTATTTGACAAGAGATAGCACCAAGTCTTGTATCCGAATGCTTGTTAAGCCACTCAAAAACAAGATCCATATTTTCTAAATTTGATAACTTTGCAGAGAGCCCGTTTTCATAACCTGTTTTCCGCGTCTAAATTCAAACTGAGTAGGATTATAGGATCGCTGGGATTCTCAGTCAATGGCAACGGGTCTTCATTCCAGAACGCACATTTTTTAGTTGATTCTCCGTCATAGTACTTGTCTAAAGTCCATATCTGCTCTTTTACTGGCATACTTGGACATATTTCCCCTCCTTAAATTGTCCTCCTTAAATAACACCCTCTCGCCGATTTATATATAGCCATTTCCCAGAACCCGGGAGTCAGAATCGCTGATGGTTGCCATATTGAACATGTTGAAATATGTACTGTAATATCTGTAATACTAGGCATTGCCTGCTACGCGTAAGGGTCATGTGACTAGCGCGATACAGGAAAAATGGGGAATTTCGAAACAACAATTTTTGGGCACTTTTATTGCAAATGTCAGGTATTTATAAGTGTTTGTGGTATAAAATATAATCCACAGACATAAATGAACATCCAAACTACATATTTTATTACGTTTTGGAGCCTTTTTTGCTTTTAAAATGACATCTTTAAAAAATTGCTCTAGCAGTATATTTGCATATAATAAAGTCTAAATGGCGTCCATTAACATATTCTTTCAGGATCAGGCCATGATTACAATGGAACTGCTTTGAGTGTATTTAACAATGTAGTCGTTGTTGCTATCAACTATAGACTTGCGCATCTCGGTAAGATTTAATGATAAAATAGAGAATTACAATTATTATCTAAATTCAATTTCTGGAAAGGCATTAGAAACAGAAAATAAACAGGCACAAAACAAATCTTGTCATTTGGAAAACGAATTTTTTACAAAGCTATGATCTAATCTACATATTTAGTTATCAAAACTCCAAACCAAAATACCACGGCAAAACCATTTAGTTCCATGCAGGGTTTCTGAGTACAGGAGACAGCCTAATACCTGGTAATATGGGATTCAAAGACCAGGTTGAAGCGCTAAAGTGGGTCAATCAAAACATCCACGCTTTTGGTGGTGATCCAGATGCCGTAACTATCTTTGGTGAAAGTGCAGGCAAGTGCAGTTGGATGCTGATTTTATTCAAATGTTAATGGTTTAAATACAAAAAATATATGAATGAAATTAGTTTGACATTTCATTAACTAAACAAAATGCATAATGAATTATAAGCGATGTACTTGTTTCCATCTGATGTCGCATTTAGGTTCATGGAGTACTTCTTCACATCTTGTGTCACCAATGAGTAAAGGTCTGTTCAAGTATGCAATACTACAAAGTGGATCTATACTTAGTGATATAGTTGTGAATAAAAATGCAGAATACCATTTTAACGAAGCAGCAATACTTTTAGGTAAAACTAATTTTTTTTACAAAGGTACAATGCCGTATTAGTTCACATCGCAGATACGGCTGTGAAGAGTAGATTTTGTGTGAACTTGATATTGCATGCAACTTGATTTGACTTGTAAATTGTGAAAAATATACTAACTAAAACCATACACCCTTGTTTATATATCAGGAGTATTAGGAACTTCACAAAAGTTACAAGAATTTAGTGTTGTTCTAAAATTGTCAAGTATAAAGTATCTAAGCGCAAGTGCCAACAGGAAACACCAAAAAATGGTTACAGAACACAGCGAGAAAAAACAAATCATCTAGAGGTGCATCAGGCATAAGGAAATTAGATCCCAATAATCCCAAAGCAAGGGACATTTTATTCAAACTGAAATCAGTCATAAGGAAATTAGATCCCAATAATCCCAAAGCAAAGGACATTTTATTCAGATTGAAGCTATAACATGTTGATGAATTAACTAAAATTGAAAATTAATACCCAATACTCAAAACTCAAAACATCAAAATTAGTTGTACATACTACTATTAAATACAATTGCGTTCAGTTTCAAATGATGTGTGACAGACGAAATCCAACTTTGAAGTCCATAGGCATCCGTACGCAAAACCGTCGTCATAATCCATTAAACACAATGGTCATTAGGAGAAAACAAAGGCTAGTTTCGATCCCTATTTCTCGACTATTAATGCCATAGCGGGATCCGGGGAATCTTTTTAGTCTCAAGAATGCGCTCTTAAACAATAATAATCTCCTAATCAATGGATCACTGGCTTAAGGAAATAAGAAATAAAAAAAATAAAAAAAATAAAACATCTAGTCATCATATATTCCTATTTAAAATATTTCCATTTAGGTTGTGTCAATGGTTCCAAATCTGAAATAACTGATTGTGTTAAACAGGCTCCTGTCGAAGATATTCATCAAGTCATTGTAAAAACATCTGGCAATATGAAGTACGATCGGGTCACAGTTGATGGAGAATTCTTTCCTAAACATCCAAAGTATCTTTATGAAGAGGCAGATTTTAGTGATACCAAGATAATGGTTGGAACAACAGAACATGAAATGTACATGTATATTTCTCTTTGGTCCTTTGATGGCCAGTACAACTATGGAACATTTCTGGAAGAAATAAAATTTGCAAATGAGCTGTTTTGTCAAAAGGACACTGTAACTGTTGAAAACCTGAATAAAATTGCGAAGTTTTATTTGGACAAGGATATATCTGAGATGGATGAGAAATCCTACAGAGAAAAAGCCATTGAGATTACAACAGACTTTACTATGGAGTTCCCTGTGCTTAATTTGACAAACACATTTGTAGGTATGTATATGTAGCATCATTCAGCTCTCCAAATACTAAATGTTAGCATCCAATTAACAATGCTAGGCATAAACAAATACATCAAATTGACGGCAAGTTGTACAGTCACGTAGCTTCTCGTTACAAGTTTAAAAATGGAAACTTCCAGGCATGAAATGATGTATCATTTAACAATTTCAACCGTGAACATCTATGTCAAACTTGACGGCAAGTTGGACAGTCATGTCGCTTCCCATTCTAACAAACGGAAGGTTCGTCATTTTATTATGCCATTAATTCTTATTTAAAGAGAATTAATGGCATTGATAATTCTATTTCAATTATTTTGATTTTTATTTTATAGAGAGAGGTGGTACAGCATACCTTTATTTATACTCCCATTCTCCTAGCCACATGCAGACGATCAGACCACGTGACTATGGAGCTCATGTTGATGAACTGTTGTTCTTATTTGGTTATGGGTTTATAGACCCAAATGAATTAAATGAGAGAGTTACGTATACGAATGATGAAAATACATTTGCCCTGCAACTGATGAAGTATTGGGTCAACTTTGCACAAAATGGGTGAGGTTTATCAATTTTATTTTATGTCCTGATTTATCGTGATTCACTGAACATAATTGATCTATTCTTTCAATGACTGCGTGTGACCTACAATATGGCTGTATTATACCATAAAGTTGTGCATTATAACAACCATGGAAGTCGGGGTTGCAAGTTCAAACAATTCAAAAAAGTGCAAGTTATTAGAGTTGAATCCATGATTTGTAGTTTTTCTTCACGAAGGCTGAAATTACATTTGTTCTTATTCATATCGAAAGATCTGTAACTTAAAAAAATAATCTCGTAAATCCTTTTTACCATGATATCATTGTATCATATCAGGGATATATAGTTAAAGATGGAGATTTCTAATCTTTTTTAAAGGAGCCTCTGTTTGTGTAACTTGGTCGATAGATCTGCTCTATTGATGGGTCTATTGACATGATTACACTACATAATAATCATCACATTTAATTCTAAAAATGATAATAAAAATATGGAATAAACGTGTCTCTTCCCTTAGACATCCTGCCACTGTAACTAATACAAAGATAATAGTCTATATTCCTAAACACTTTTATCAAAGCTCAAAATGTCACAAAAATCTATTTCTTCCTAAAACTATTTTACAATCTTCAAAGTATTGTTAAAAATATTGAATGTTTAAAATAAAACATATCATAATGTTCCCTGTCAAACACTTGCTTTAAAACAGAATATAAAAGTGGAGATCATTTGCCTTTGGAACGACTTGTCTCGGGGACCAGCTGACTAGTTATGAAACGAATCCGTTTCCGTAACAAAATGTTAGAACCTCGAAGTGACGATTTTTCTCTTTTCCTTATTTCACGAGCTGTAGGCAGAATTTTAATGAAATTTTTACAAACGTGTGTCAGTATCATATGTTTAAGAACATCTAAACGTATGTGGACAAATAGTTCAGAAGACGATAGAATCATTGATACGATACCTCACTTCTGTTACGTAAACGGATGCTTGTTTTGAACGAATAAATAAAGTTGTATTTCTTATTTGAAGTGATCCTAACAGTGAAGATTTACCAAAGTGGCCAAAGTACAACTTAGAAAGTGAGGAGTTTGCCGTACTTCAACCCCAGCCAAACGTGAGACAGCTTTTCAGGAAGGAAAAGTTTCAATTTTAGAAAGAATTCATGCAAGAAATTGAAGATAATAGGCTTGGGACTAGGCTTTCAAAAGACGAATTGTAATATGTTTGTTATATTAAGAATATTTCATTACATAATGTTACGTTCGAAAATAACAGAAAGTAAAAACAGCAATTAAAATATGATAACAATATATTTATATTTTGAAAACTAAATAATATAACAATAATATAAAGGAGGTTTAATACTTAAGTGATGTCCAATCAATGATACCGCTTATTCTTGATGTCGATAAATGTCGTTGACGATCCTTTGGAATGTTCCAGATCACGAAATGTTTCAATAATCGTTAATAGTTCTCCAATGTTTGTAATAATCCAATAATGTTTGTTGTAATCCTATAATGTTCGTATCCAATAATGTTTGATGATAATCCACAAATATTTGATGATAATCCACAAATGTTTATGATAATCCACGAATGTATATGATAATCCGTATAAGGTGTGTGTTGTAATATATGTCCATATAAAGTCCTCAGGTTGTATGTTTGTATTGTTATAAATGTTCCCACAGTAGGTTGTTGTAATTTTCTGCTGAGAAGATGTCCTTTTGATAAACTTTGAAATTCTGCTTTATTTAGTTCCTTTGAGATGTCCAGTTATGATTACTTAATTATCTGCTAATGAGAGTCACTGTGCTGTTCTTTTATAATGTGAAAGAATGATCCAGAAACGAATCTTCTGGAACTACATCTTGATTGGACATCTTTAGTGACATGATTCAATCTGATTAAATGTTTACTAGTTTCCGAATATTCTAGAAGGTCGAGAGTTAATGAGTCATTCAGTTCAGTTTTGTTTACAAGATACAGTGTATAATGTCATTGTGACCTTGACCTAAGATCTCTAATAAAGAATAGCTCAACATATACAGCAAGCATAGATTACAAATTAAAAAAACTATAGGTGAATATAGTAGAATATAATATACATGTAGCTCACTACTGTAACACCTCCCTCCTTAAAAGAAAAGTTTTGAATGCAATGAAAAACTTTTACAATAATATCTTGAGTAGCGAGCGTTACAATTTTTAAAAGTGAGGTTGAGACTAACATAATATTTGTTTACAATAGTCTTTTTATATGCAGTATGTTTACAAGTATATAATACTTTCTATCGTTACAGTGTGAGTACAATCTAATAACATATAATGTTCTGTAATAATGTGTTACAATAGTATCATACTACAATAGTATCAAACTAAGTTATGCATCAAGTCATAAATACAATACATGCAATAGATCATATAACTTGTACAATAGTATACTTTTTTTTGAGTCTGACAAACACTAAACTTGTACAATGTTTTACATTATCACATGATCTTATGTAACTATTTCTACTAGTACAATCTGATGTTATTTAGTAATCTTGTGACACAATTTAATGATCACCTATAATGCTCACATAATCTTAATACAATCTTTTTGTTCATATAATATCAATTTCACTGTTTAGGCAAATGTTTTTATATATTGTTAAAATAAAGTGACAGTTATCTCAAATCTCCAATTTGCCTATCATATAATATAATCTTCATGAGTTAATCATTATAATTTACAATATCTGACTCTTGAATAACATACATGTTTAGTTGTCATTGACATACAAGTTTGGCCTATGAGCTAAGAGCACAAGCTCATGTTGAGTAAAGAAATTTTATCACGCTCAACATACTTTTTCATCATGTGTAGCTCTTTACACCTCACAGGGGTAGTTTTATCAATGCCAATGAAATCATCCAGCACTGAGTCAGATTGTAAGTCAGATATAAGCTCCTTTGGTAGCCCAACTAATGTGAAATTGTTGATTTGTGATTTCACAATATACTTGGTTTTGCTATTTCTAAGCATAAGGAGTGATTTTATTTCTGGAAACTGTGTGGCCATGGACAGAATAATGAGCAGATATTGATTGTCAGATTTTGTTTTTGGTAAAGGACCAACACAGTCAATAAGAACCTTACTGAATGGTTCATCAAATGCAGGTATAGGGTGTAAAGGAGCAGTTGGAATTTTCTGGTTAGGTTTCCCTACCATTTGACATGTATGACAAGACCTACAATACTCTTGGACATCTTGTTTTAATTTGGGCCAATAGAAATGATTGAGTATTTTATGGTATGTTTTAGTTACTCCTAAATGACCTGCCATGGGAGAATCATGAGCTAGACTCAAGATTTCCTTATGATATGATTTTGGGACAACAATTTGATGTACAATTGCCCAATCATCTTCAGGGGAAGCTTCAGGAGGTCTCCACTTTCGCATTAATATGCCATCCTTTTTGTAGAAACAAACAGGGACCTTGACAGCTTCATCAATAGTAAGACATCTTTTATGAAGATCAATGAGTGATGGATCATGCTCTTGTTCATAAATTAACATGGGTTTAGAATGAGGATCATTTTTCAAAGAATCACTATCAGAAATAGAGGATGAAACCTCAGAACTAGAAGAGGATGAAACCTCATGAACACTAGCAGAAGAAGATGAAACTTCATCAGGACTAGCAAGAGCGGGCGAAACCGCATTAAAATAGTGATCCTGCTCAGAAGGTGAATCACCTCTGGCAATAGGCTTTTTCAATGAAGAATTTGCCTCAATAGATGACTGCTTGGCACAAACAGAAGGCTGTTTCAATGAAGAATTTGCCTTTAAAATAGGATAAGGATCATCTTCAACAAGTGGTGAGTGACATTCATCATCAAACAAGGAGCTTAAAAACCCTCTATCAAAGTCATCTCCCACAGACGAATCCCCGCTATCAGCTAACTTTTTAGCCATAGCCCTAGTAACAGCACAAGCAGGATATATATCAGAGTCCTCTTGGACAGAATCCTCAATAGAACAAGGCTGATCAGAAACAATGGGGTCTAATGATACCTTACCCCCAGCTAAATCATTGCCTAAAAGCAATGCGACTCCTTCAACAGGAAGTTGTGGCCTAACACCAACAATAACTGGCCCTTTGACTAACTCTGATGTGATATGAATACGATGGAGGGGAACTTTTGTAAAACCTAATTCAATGCCTTGCATCAAAATATGGGTACCTGTGAATGACTCCTCAGATAAAGGAAGGACACCTTCTAACAACAAAGTCTGAGATGCACCCGTGTCTCTAAGAATCTTAATTGGCTTTGAATTGGTACCGTCACTTGACAGTGACACAGATCCTTCCGACATGAAAGGCTTATAATCCTCCATAATATCACTATGAGTTGATTTCTCAGTATGAGTATATGAATCCCAAACAATGGGCTTTCTTGAAATGGGAACTGTAGCACAACCATTTGAATGAGCAGAACCAGACATCTCTCTTCTATTCTTAATCCTATAGCATTCAGAAATAAGATGACCAGGCTTTTTACAATAGTTACAGGTGACATTTGATGTTGGACCTGACGATTTTGATTGATCTGATTTTGAGCTAAAACTCTGTGATGAATTAGACTGGTCTTTTGCTTTGTTTGATGTATTTGATGATGAGGACTGATTTGGTTTTGAATCATATGAAGGTTTGTTACCTTGATAACCTCTAAAGTTGGGATTACCTTTGATAAAACTACCCTTATGAGTAAGAGCATAATCATCAGACAGGGTGGCAGCTTGGCTTAAAGTTTCTACCTTGTGTTCATCTAAGTAAGTTCTAATGTGATACTGAACACAGTTTTTAAATTGTTCTATTAGCATAAGCTCTCTGAGCTTTTTAAACTCTTCAGATACATCTTTAGAGACAAGCCACCTGTCAAAAAGCTGCTCTTGCTCTCTAGCAAACTCAACATGGGTTTGGTCACTCTGTTTGTGGGCATTTCTAAATTTTTGTCTGTAAGCTTCTGGCACTAGTTCATAAGCTTTAAGAATTGCATTTTTAACTAGGTCATAATCAGAGCATACTTCTCCAGAGAGAGAGGCAAATATTTCACTTGCTTTTCCAATAAATACACTCTGGAGCATAACTGGCCATGCAGATTTAGGCCAGTCTAGGCTCTGAGCGACTTTTTCAAAATGTGTAAAGTATTTATCAACATTTTTCTCTTGAAATTTAGGTACAAATTTGAGAAATTTTGAAGCGTCAAACCTATTTTCAAAATGTTGATGCATAGTAGCATGTTCATCAGTTTTAGATTGAGCTTCTATCTCAAGACGTTTTAGTTCAATTTCTCTTTGAATTTCTTGTTCTCTCATTTGTCTTTCATTTTCTCTTTTTTCTCTTTCATTTTGCATTTCTAACTCTTTTTCTCTCATTTCTCTTTCATTTTGCAATTCTTTCTCTCTCATTTCATTTTGTAATTTGAGCTCAAGCTCTCTCATTTGTAATTGCTGTTGAAATTCAGTAGGATCAACATGCGCAACATGCTGGGCTGGCTCCTCAGGCAGAAGTGATTCTGCGATCAAATATTGAAGTACAAAGTTTTTGATTGTACCTTTATTGTATGAGCTTTTGACTGACAGGCCAACATGTTTTGCAATTGCCAGAAGTTCAGTTTTCTTTAAATCATCAAATTCCTCCAAAGAGGGTGCTTCTAAGAATGTCTCAACCTCAAAACTCATTTTTGATTAATTGCTGTCTTCACAATTTAGATTTACAATTTTGGAATTTTGAATTTTAAGATTTATGAATTTTAGCTTGTTATAGTTCAATTCCCGGACGAGCCCCCAATTTCTGTTACGTTCGAAAATAACAGAAAGTAAAAACAGCAATTAAAATATGATAACAATATATTTATATTTTGAAAACTAAATAATATAACAATAATATAAAGGAGGTTTAATACTTAAGTGATGTCCAATCAATGATACCGCTTATTCTTGATGTCGATAAATGTCGTTGACGATCCTTTGGAATGTTCCAGATCACGAAATGTTTCAATAATCGTTAATAGTTCTCCAATGTTTGTAATAATCCAATAATGTTTGTTGTAATCCTATAATGTTCGTATCCAATAATGTTTGATGATAATCCACAAATATTTGATGATAATCCACAAATGTTTATGATAATCCACGAATGTATATGATAATCCGTATAAGGTGTGTGTTGTAATATATGTCCATATAAAGTCCTCAGGTTGTATGTTTGTATTGTTATAAATGTTCCCACAGTAGGTTGTTGTAATTTTCTGCTGAGAAGATGTCCTTTTGATAAACTTTGAAATTCTGCTTTATTTAGTTCCTTTGAGATGTCCAGTTATGATTACTTAATTATCTGCTAATGAGAGTCACTGTGCTGTTCTTTTATAATGTGAAAGAATGATCCAGAAACGAATCTTCTGGAACTACATCTTGATTGGACATCTTTAGTGACATGATTCAATCTGATTAAATGTTTACTAGTTTCCGAATATTCTAGAAGGTCGAGAGTTAATGAGTCATTCAGTTCAGTTTTGTTTACAAGATACAGTGTATAATGTCATTGTGACCTTGACCTAAGATCTCTAATAAAGAATAGCTCAACATATACAGCAAGCATAGATTACAAATTTAAAAAACTATAGGTGAATATAGTAGAATATAATATACATGTAGCTCACTACTGTAACAATAAACTCACAGTATAACGATCAATATTGGTTTTATTTTGGCGATAAGGATGGGACAAGCAGCTATAATCCTCTCCTATTGGTTGTTCATACCGCATTACTAACTAATAAAACCAACATATAAAATAATTCCTAACAATCAGTCTTTGGAATAGGTTTCTAATTTAGACAATAATCGAAGCACAAAGAAAATATTTGTATGGAGCAAATCAAGTGATTCAGTATGGATTAGACATGTCAGAAATATTCTTATATCAGTAGATATGGAACAGGATTTTATTGATGAACAAGTTGTTTGACCTTAAACTGTTAGAAACATCTTTAATGGAAAACTATGTACCTGCATGGGAGCAATAAAGGCTAAGCCAAATTTCCGCACTTATGTTGCCTTTAAAAAGCGTATAAATAGATATAAGTATCTAACATTAAATTTCTCAATATTTGAGCGAAGTTTAGCAGCTCAGTTTAGACTAGGTAGTTTGCCACTTAGGCTAGAGACTGGCAGATGTAAGGGCAAACCTGCGGAAGAAAGATTATGTATACTATGTAACGATAACTCAGTTGAAACAGAAATACATTTTCTATTCCATTGCAAGAGATATGATGATCTGACAAAAACATACTTTCATGAGGTAAATTTTAAAGATTTGGATAATGAAGGTAACAAAATTGAAATTCTTTTTAGGGAGCATACCTGTAAAATTGTTAAATTTATTAAGATGGCTTTTGTGCGGAGAACAGAATTCATTTTGAAATTCAATTTCGACCAGTTGAAAATTGAATTCAAATCCTTTGTAAAAAATTTTTTCAAGTAAATCATCTTGGTTGAATGACTGATAAAGAGAAGTGTCGTCTGCGTATATGTGACATTTACTGTGTAAGTTTTCAGGAAAATAATTTATGAAAACTAGGAACAGTAAAGGACTGAGAATTGATCCTTGGGGGACGTCTGGGTTTATATAATTCATATCTGAAAGGTTCGATTCCTGTCCATCAAGCGCTACTTTGACACGTCGATTTGTGAGATATGAATTTAAAAGGGATATGATGGAAGGGCCAATACCATTTGGTTCTAGCTTTTTTTGATTAGTAATGAATGTGGTGAAATAGCTAAATAAATACCCCTAACACACCCTCTTGTTTCAATTTCATTAGTGATATAATCTATAATGCTTAGTAATTGAGATTGGTACTATGGCCAGGAAGAAACCCGCTTTGTATACTGTAAAACCGATCATTTCTGATGAGATGGTCAAATATTCTTTTCGAAGATAATGCGTTCAACTATTTTTGACAATCAACAAAGAAGAGTAATTGGGCGATAATTTTTGACATCAGTTTTATCACCTTTTTATGAATAGACAAAAGTTTCCATTTTTGTGGAAATGAATTAAGGGTGCCATTTTTAACATTCTGTTACTGATTTGATCAGGACCCGTGGCTTTGTTTATGTTAAGAGAAAGTAACAATCTAAAGACTTCATCTTCATGACTGGATAAAATATTGACAATGTTTTCAGTTCTTGGGTCTATGTGGATGTTACATAAATCATCATTACAATGGAAATTTTTGATGAAATGAGACAAAAATAAATTAGCCTCGTCATGGCTCTTAACAATATGTTTCCCATGTTGGTAAAAAAGTAACGGTATTTTCGAGTTTTTTGATTTGCCGAGAAGTTTGGATACCATGGCCCAGTATACTGCCATATTTAAAAGTTGATAATTTCTTTCGCATGTTTGAGTCAAATGAATCTTTAGTCTCATTTATTGCTTGATTGTTCATTGTGTCAAATTGTGAGATTTTCGATATTTTGAATGAAGTTTGTTTCTTTTGTTAATCATAAGCTTTTAACATTAACGATAGTATTAGGAATTTGGTCCAAAAAAATGTCAAAAAGCCTGTCGCAAAAATTATCGACAAGAGAATGTCAATATTGTTTGAAGATTCAATGAGGTCATCAAATTGCGCTCTCCCGATGGTATCATTCCATAATGTAATATCAGCTTTTGAATAATGCCATAATCTACGTGAATATGAAGCATCTTGTATGTTGCCATAGAAACAGTTACTTGACAGAGTGCAGTGATCTCTGTTGCCAATAGGTGGCGTAACAGAGAAATTCAATGTATTATGCATGTAAGGGCTTCTAGCAAGCTTTTGCCACGGGTGGGGGGACGGGATTCACTTCTCAGAAAGAACTCCAGGGGAGGGTTCACTTCGACAAATTTGGCCAAAAACCACATAAAATATGGTCAGAATTGTGAAATTGCATGACTTGATAAAGTGGCGGGATTTAATTATCCGACTTGAAGAACAGGCTATTTGAAACGTGGAATTTTAAAAAAGATCATAAGATAATAGCACGTAGATATATAGATGGCACCTTGGAATAAAATCACCTGGAATGGCAATTCCATTGTGTATCCATCGCTCCAGTGTTCTATGTCTGTCTCCCATTGTTAAAAATAACAAATCCCCGGTTGCTTTGAGTTATTACGTCATATTTCATGAACACCGACGTCACATTTTGTACATAGTTTCCCTGACGATCGTAAGTTTTATAAACAATGCTATACATACATTACCGAGTACTCGTCTTGGTAAACGTGCTGCACGGACCTGTATCAATCATGAACCTCTTTAGTATTCCCAGATGGCACGAAGCTTGGTAAGCCGGATGTTATGGACGTAAGAGACATCTATTTAACAGCTTTATTTTTATTTATCACTTGTTTAATTGCATGTATTACGATCCGATATACAAGCTGAATTAACATCTGCCTTCCCTTAACGCAGATCGGTGCAAACGATTTAGAAAAAGTCGGTAAATAATCGAGTATCTTTATCCCATCTTTGGTCCAATGGTATTTAACTTCTTTCCACACTGAATTTAAGCACAAATGAAAACCTTTGAAGAAGGATGCCTTATCTTTGTTCTCGTCTCCCCTAGCTTGAACTGTTTTTATGGCAAACTGTGTAATTTATTTTCGGAATACTGGGTGTGACCCAGGTGTGACAAACAAAAATATTTAGCTACCCTTACGTTGTTCTCATGACGTTCGTCCTTTATCTGTAATTTATTCTTTGATACTTGGAAACAATTAAGTACCCAGAAATGCTCAAACATATCACCAAAATCGGAGATATATAGAGGAACGATTCCGCCTTTAGGATGATGCCCACTCAAAAGGATGATGCTATTTGCTATATAATTATATTCATTATCCACCCCTGAAGTTCAAGAGCTTTAGAGATAACATACATAATTACGTCTCTTGCTTACCACCTTCATTTGTTCGAATTAAAAACATTATAAAAGATTTTTGAAAAGTACTTCATTCGGATTGAGTTTCAGAGATAAGCAGTGGAATCCGATATTGGGTTCTATTTTTGAATAAACAAAGTTTTTTAAAGCAAACGTGCAAGTTAATACTGGTCTGAACTAGTGAAATTTGCCTATATGAACTTGTTTCAGTATGCAGCTGGATCATTCTGGTTTCCCGGGCTAAACAAAAAATTGGTTCAGTTTTAGAACATTTTTGGCTTATGTCATTCCTTGTCATGTCTATTTTCTAAAAATCACAAAAGTGCATACTTTATTCCAGGAAAAGATTTTTACAATAATGTATTATTTTTCTGTAAGAATGGTTACCATTCTTATCATTTGGGATAATTTAAACATTTTTTCACCCATTTTTGCCCTTTGAATCTTAAATAACTTCACCAATTTACAACATATTCTGAATCTTTTGGGAGATATTTATTTGATATTGTAACAAATAAATTGGTAGGTCAATTATACACGTTGCTTGTAATTTTGTCACCCCCTATAGATCAGATTCTGCCTTTAAAATAGACCAATCTTGTAGTTTTGTGCATCTCTCTGCTCCAGACACTTGTAACTTTTAATAACAAATTCTAGATGCTGTAGTTCATCCGACCGCCTGCCGCCTTCTGTCATCAGATCTTTACCAGGGCATTCACCAACAAGCAACTAAAATTACAGGCATAATCGAGACGCGCATTGCTTAAAAGGTGGATCGACTGAAAGGATCAAGTCGGCTTTAAAGAAATACAAAGATGGGAAAATCGAACATACAAGATGTTAAACAAGGATCGTTTTGGAGGGCATGCATCGGTGAACTTCTTGGGACATTGTTTTTAGTGTTAGTTGGATGTGGATCATGTCTGGATGCAAACAGCTCGACAGTCCAGAAGGCACTTGGGTTTGGCTTGAGTGTGGCAACAATGGCTTGGATTCTGTCCAACGTCAGTGGATGCCATATTAACCCCGCTATCACGCTTCCCATGGTTGTCACACGTAAAGTGACAATTGTCCGGGGATTATTTTACATCATCGCCCAAATAGCCGGTGGAGTGATCGGGGCGGCAATTCTTAAAGGCCTCATCCCAAGTCAATATCACGGGGCCCTTGGGGCAACTGGACTATCCCCAAAAGTCACCGTTGCCCAGGGTTTTGGAATCGAGTTCATGATTACATTCGTATTGGTGTTTACAGTGTTTGCCTCATGTGACGGAAAGAGAAATGACTTTAACGGATCGACTCCACTTTCTATTGGACTGTCCATCACTATGTGTCATGTTTTTGCCGTAAGTATTTTAAATATCTTTATGAATATATGTTCACATTTTTTGAATATTTTCAGGTTTTTGGGTTCATCGTGCGATTTTGCAAATAATTCAACAATCTTTTTCAGGAAATATCCACGGTATGGTCACAATGTGTTAGGTATCGTATATTTATAGGGTTCATCTAATGAAAAAGGTGTTACAAGCGTGAAAAATCAAACATTCGATGTCTACATGTTCTGTTATAAATCGTATGGGTGACGTTATCATCACAAAACAATACGATGCCGTAGTGTTTATTAACTCATTTAAAAAAAACAGCAACGCCAAATGTTTTTGTAGTAGTGCAAGGCATATTTGGATTATGCATCAATGATAAAATTGTTCTCTGTTAGCTCTGAACTTATTTCAGCTAAATATTCTAAATTACAAAAAGCCAATGGTTTACTGCATTAAACTAAAGTATCTGAAATTCTATGCATGACAGAGATACAGTTGTGTTCAGTTTTTAACCACTGTTACACTGGATAATTTTATATGCCAGATTTGCCAGATAAGTCAGATTTGAATTTCCGAGAGCTTGTAATAATATTTTGAAAAAAAGATCAATTTGAAGCAAGTAGAAAAATAACTTTTTTAACCCTGAGAAGGTCATTGGAGGTGAAATCTCAAATCTAAGGTCAAGTTGTAAAAATACCTTTTTGACCTTGAGAAGGTCATTAAGGTCAAATCGTATAATCATTGAAGGTCAAATCTATAGTCAGATTTGAACTTCTGATAACTTGTAGATGATTTTGAAAAAATAAAGTCAGTCTTGACTGTATTTGTTAAGTTTTAAGAATTTGTTACTGACGCCAACCGTCACACCCCGATCGCACACAACAAACCGCCACCCGCCGATCGCCAACCACCAACCGCCAACCGCCAACCGCCGATCGCCGCCACAAAAAAAACGGAGACCATAACAACATGTCATCACTTTTTGGTGGTGACATAAAAAACCTCTGACTTAATTTCTTTTTTATATTATTTTATGCTGTTTAAAGTACTGTAATATCAGTCCGATGACCATAAAATATGGCAAGCTGGTAAGTAGGAAATTAAATGATGCATAAATGTGCCAAACATCAGGGAGTAATTTACTTAAATGAAAAATATAAAAAATATATATAAAAAATAGAAAATGTTATCAGACCAGATTCAAAAATAGAAAAAGATAGTTAGAAAAATAGCGACAGGGTTTCCGTTTTTGAACAACCTGTGTATTCATTCTAATGTAAGACACTAGCCTACACAGCAATGTTCACATGAAACGGTTGACAAAAATCGTAAACAGATTGAGGATCTGCTGTCAGTGTGTTAAATTAAAAGAAGGGTAAAATATGACTCGCGATCGACATTGTAATTGGCAAATATAACTATGGAATGTTAAACAAAGCAATAAGATTCCAGCTAATAAATTACGTTCACAGAGCAACAATATTCCTAGATATTCGCCAGATCTGTTTTTCAATTCTCCCCTTCCAAACCTCGGAAATCTCAGATTTCTCCTCAGTACTCTTTCGATCAAATGTCAAATGACACTTTTACTAAACTCGTGGGAAAAACATATATTCGGACACTGCATGAGCCGCACATGCGCATAGTAAAATTTAAAATCGTGGAAATGGCGTTTATTTCAGTTTTAAAAACATCATCATTTCTAAACTACCCTAATACTATTAAGTTACTCCATCCAAACTTGTATATAAAAATCATAAAACAACAGTGAGCATTCTGAGATCAATTTCAATGGCAAATGAGGCCCTTACAAAATTGGTTATCGAATGTGCCAGTACCAACTCTCATCTTTGGGAACCAGCCCCCCCCCCCTCCGGTTGTTCTTGAAGCGTACGAAATAGAGCGTTTGTATTCTTGAAATAAACTTAAGCCCATTTTACTGCCTTTAAAATGTTTGCAATATTATGAAATAGAGCGTTCACAATTTTGATTGTCTGAGTGATTAAGCGAGTTTAGCTTTCTGCCATTAATTGACGCCAAAGTTATGAAATAGTGCGTTCACATTCAAACTGATGAGTCCCTTGCTATAAGGTTATAATTGCCTTTTCACAAAAGTCACATTACGGGTTGCGTTTCAGAATTACATAGTTTAATAGGATCATTATTTGGCAGTTGCAATTATACAGCTTATGGTATTTTGTTTTTCATACCATGTTATGTCAAATACAAATAATTTGTAGTTTTTGCAACCTCGTTATGCTGAACTTTTCAAATGCAATGGCATGATGGTAGAACTGGTTGTACTCATGTATTGGGACACATGCTATACGATCTATTGAACCTCACCATGAAGTCTTGCGTTCAGGAGTAGGAAAGTTGTTATAGAATGTTTTCAAGCAAAATGGGATGAATATTTTTTAAAGAGTCAAATTCACTGATATCATCTTACTCAAAGTTGATATCATCATCACTGTCTGGTTGTAAAAACGAAATTCATGATGTTACGCGACCGATCATGATCACACATTCTCGACCAGCTCAGAGACATATAAAACAGTCTCTGACCAGCTTAAAGCAGAGTAAACCGGACTATATTTCCGGAGGACTATTTACCCTGCCGGCGGACTACTTAACCCGGTTTTGCTATTTTGAGAGACTCTTTCTAGTGAAGCACCATGCCCTCTTGATACTCATTATAAGTACCTATTATGTCTCACACTTGTATTCGTGTAACTATAAACAACCATTAATATGTTGCGCTAGCTACTTCATTACTAAAGTAAAATTATTATTAGGCGTCCTGAAATATACTTTTTTCATCCCTGTTCTCGTCTGTTCAATGGCTATTCACTAGCAAACCAGATTCAAGTATATCATTAAAGACGAGATGCAAGCATATCATTAAAGACAAGATTCAAGCATATCATTAAAGACAAGATTCAAGCATATCATCAAAGACAAGATTCAAACATATCATTAGCATATCATTAAAGACAAGATTCAAACATATCATTAACGACAAGATTCAAGCATATCATTAAAGACCAGGTTCGAGCCTATCATTAAAGACAAGATTCAAACATATCATTAAAGCCAAGATTCAAGCATATCACTCAAGACCAGATCCAAGCATATCATTAAAGACGAGAATCAAGCATATCATTAAAGACAAGATTCAAGCATATCATTATAGACAAGATTTAAGCATATCATCAAAGCTAAGATTCAAGCGTATCATTACAGACCAGATTCAGCCATATCATCAAAGACCCGATTCAAGTATATTATTAAATTCCAAGTTCAAACGTATCATTAAGGATCAGATTCAAGCATATCATTAAAGACCAGATTCAAGCATATCATTAAATACCAGATTCAAGCCTAGCGTTAAAGACCAGATTCAAGCATATCATTAAATACCAGATTCAAGCCTAGCGTTAAAGACCAGATTTAGGCATATCATTTAAGACCAGATTCAATCAAATCATTAAAGACCAGATTCAAGCATATGATTAAAGACAAGATTCAAGCATATCATTAAAGACCAGATTCAAGCATATCATTTAAGTCGAGATTTTAGCATATCATTAAAGACGACATTCATGCTAAAGGGTGTGTTGTGTATATTTTTCTTGACAATGTAGATGAGAAACACTGCATGCTAAACATATCATATAATATATCCTTATCATTAGAGCATCGAATAGTAATTATAAAAGTATATCTTGTTATATTGTTCTTCCGCAAGAAAGTCGAGTTTTCTGTTATACAATCATGAATATTTTACTAATCTCGAAGCAAGGCTTGGAGGTATTTTTGGGCCAAATTACTGGCATAAATTATATCTTATCTTCGAGTTCCAACCCCTGCAGAGAAATCATCCGATCGGACGAGCACACCCAGATGATGAATGTTTTACTTGTCGTAATTAAGATTAAAACGCCCAAATTATCACATGAAAATATGAATACACCCCCCTCAATAAGTTTAACACGTAATTTAAGTTAACATATCGTCTTAATATAAAGGGAACTTACAAATTCTTGGTTCGATTCTCAGATACTGTATCAAACCACGTGACATAGTGGACATCGAAGACATCAAACCCATTTGAATATTTTAGTTCGTGAGTTCTCAAGCGGGATGGACAGCAATTAGGTTAAGCATTCAAGTTTTCCGTGAAAAGTTCCACTTCACCTTATCAAGAAATATGTTCACAAAAAAGGTCAACTTGATTTGGAAGCAAAGGTCAAGATTCCATTTTTAAGTAGTCATTCTTTCTGGACTGGACAGCTACAATGTCAATATAGAGCATTAACTTGACAGACGTATCATGACCATGATCAGATGGTCATCATTCTCATTCAGACAATCACTTGAATACCATTGATTGATGTTTACTACTAATTTCTGTACCAGCTCAGATATAAAGAGATCGCAGCGATATTATCAAATGTGACAATATAAATGACAATATGAAATAGCTTTTTGAAAACCCATTAACAATATTCCGACCTGGTTTGTAGGATTTTTAAATTTTCAATTAAAGGTGCAATGAGGACTAGAGATAATCGACTTTCGTTACTCCACTAGATTGTCCTTAGTGGCCATTATATATAATAGGCCTATATGTGTGATATCTATCTTCTTATAATATGTGGAAATCGCCTCATCTATCTCTGTTTGCCACTTAAAATCAAATCTAGAAGTTGGAAATTGTAAAGACGGACGTCCGCGTTTTCATTATCCCAACGAACGAAGTTCTGTAGGGATATAGTGAAGCCCTCCGTCCGTCTGTCCGTCAGTCATTCAGTCAGTCCGTCCGTCTGTCCGGAAGATAACTCGAATACTAGTCGACAGATTTTCTTCATATTTGGTGGAATGATGTATATTGGTGAACAGTTTTACGCAAAAATAAATTTTTTCAAGATGGCCGCCAGTTTAAAAATGGCGGGAATTTTTCGCAAAAATCTTATGTTTTTCATTTTAAACCAAACTAATAAATATTATTATTTGAAATTTTGGTAGTATATTAACATCATCTATCTATTTCACATATGTCCCGGGTTTTCACCCTGACCCCAGGGGCCGTAAATGGGGGATCGGGAAAACAGGAATTTGCGTTAATTTTGAGATGTTTTTGAAGTATAGCTTTATTATACTCAAATGAAAGGCAATTTAGAGTAGATTGCAAATATTGTAACGTTTTTCTGATTCGGGTCTCAAAAAATTCAAAATGGCCGCCTAATGCTGGATTTCGCAATTGTTTTCTGATCTCTTAAAAGTATGGCTAATTTATACTCAAATTGAAGGAATTTCAGAGAAGATCACAATTATGGCATTGTTTTTCTGATTTGCGCCTCTGAAAATTCAAAATAGCTGACTAGAGCAGAAATTCGCCATTACTTAGAGTTATCTGAAAGTATGGTTACATGATTTAAAATATTTATTGAAGGTAAGAGTAGATGGTAAATATTACATTGTGACTGTACAGATTGATGATTTATATAGTGTTCGTTGGGATTTGCTACTCCGTGGAGTTGCCATTTTCTAGTTAAAATATTCACTGTTCTTACTGACTAATAAAAATATAAAATACACGAAGTTTGAAACACCATCTTTCCAATTTTCAGGTTCTTCTGACATGAACATGGTCAATTTCAAACAAATCGGATAGCACGTTAGTTGTAAACGGGGCTGGAATCCAATGTCAGTTCCTTCGGGAAATTGTAAAAATGCCATAGGCTATTTTCGCTGTCGATGTTTTACGGCCATTGTTTGACTTTTTGCCATTCTGATTTTTGAGTTATATTTATTTACATGTACGAAATGGATATCATCTAAACTCTTTAAAAAATTATTATATATTCACTGTGCATCAAGCGACTGATCATGATCAACATAAATAAGCATATTCTCAGTAAAGATCGGAAAAAATGCGCTTCTTAATTTGTTAAATTTTCTAGCAGAAATCGGCTAGCCCCCCCCCCCCCACTTCCCCACCGGGTGTGTGTGTATAAATATAATATATCTCATTACTCTAAAACTATGATGTCAAGTTTAATTTTAACCTCAAGACATCTGATTTTATTTAGAATTATTCAAATTCCTTTACGTTGACGGTACAGAAACCATGCAATGTATAGATGGGGTTGGTTGTAACGTGATATCCAATTTTTGTTTTGTTTTGTCTCAAGGAACCAGAATAAACCGTCAATTCTGCACCAAACTGGTTCAGAGCTGAATGTTTCAGAACCACGAAATATGGAAAACCTTATTTTTCAAAATTAGCTAACCTAAAACTAGGAGTTGATGGCATGTTTTATCTTATGTTAATGTGCGGTTGAAATAAATGATGTGAGTAACAGAATCTTGATTTGATATTTCCTAGAAAAACAATCTTTCCCGATGTCAATGCTCGAGTAGGTTGTGGTGACTTAACTTCGAAAAAAGTGCAACGTACAGAGCATGGACCAAAAGGTCAAGGTCACTGTTATTTGCCTTATGCTCCTCTCAATAATCAGTCTTAAGATAACACGATTTAAATATTTTCTCTTCTTAGATCATTGTAAAGATTTGTTAGATACAAAATCGTAGCATGTATCGCAAAGCAAGTCACTGTCAAAGATTCATGAAACATTTAGACTCATCTGAGCCTACATTTTGACCTAAATTGTAATATACCCATATTGTCACATTTAATTTTGATAAAAAGCACATACAGTGCATTATGTTATGTTGCTGACAGTTGAAATGGTATTCAAATTCTGGGATCAAAGCCAAACTAGTAAATGTGATACAGTTTTGCTGCAATATATCATGCAAAGCAAAAAAATGCAGACACCATTAAATCATGCAACTGTATAAGTACATGTATGCTACAGTGCAATTGCATTCTAAAGGAATGTATTAAAACGCACAAAAGTTTGCTCATAAATCAAAGTGCAAAAATGTGAAAAAGAAAAGTACCCATCCACCGGGCCATCCAAATACCATTACATATATGTTTGTCTTTTAGTATTTCCTTAACGCTTTCGCAGTGATTTTATAGTGTAGGGGGGGTGAAAGTCCAATATTAATATTATATATCAATATTAAACGTCCAATATTAATCGATATAATAAAAAACAGGTTGGCTTAAATTATGTCTAAACATTTTCTATTTTCAGGTTCCATTCACAGGTGCAAGCATGAATCCCGCAAGGTCATTTGGACCCGCTGCCGTCATGAAGTCGTTCCCTAACCACTGGGTAATGTTTTACGACATTTTAATCACATTTTAGAGCCTCGACAATGTTCTAGCTAGTCGCATTTTTTATCTGAGATGAGCCATGAATAACATATTATATTTGTATATCTCTGGTCTAAGTTTTATGTTGACTCTATCATATTTATCTTAATGATCTGCCTCATTATGGACGATGGGTATACATGAGTACATATCGAAAACATGGTCAGGTTGTTATTAACATTATGTGATAGTTATATGTTGAAAAATGCCTGGAACCTTGTATTTATTTATTTCATTTTCATTGTTGAAAGAGAGTTTTGCCAAACAAAATAGAATTGCGCTCAACTATTCATAAAACATAACTTCCATTCTTCAAAACAAACAATATTGGAAATAAACGTTAACAGGTGAAAACGCTGCAATAATTGACATATAGTAATTCCTAGTTTGATAAAAGTCATGTTAAAAGCTAAATTAAACATTTTGTTTTGTTCGGACAGGTTTATTGGGTTGGACCACTCCTTGGGGGACTAGTCGCTGGCCTTCTCTACGATTTCATCTTTGCCGCAAATGCGTCCGTTGAGAAACTGAAAGCCTGCTTTACGGAAAGGGATTACGACAATGATAAATTCCCGAAAGATGGCGTAACAGCTCTCAATGGATCTCCATCTGAATTAAAAAAGATTGAAACAGAATAAACAATATATGATGCAAAAAGCCTTGGCATGGCTCATGTATTGTATGGACAATTGCAATTTATTCAAGTGCCAAGTTTTATTAGTATAGTGCTTTAAATGGTAAATCCATAACATTTTGAAAGTGTTTCGAATTTCTATTAACAACAACATAAGTAGTATTCTTGCCGATACTACTTTTAGACGTTCACAATATAATGAGAATTGTATCAGTATGTTACATTCAATTATTGAATGGTGCAATTAGATTGGTACTTTTGCTTATTATTAAGGTATCTGCATTTATCAATTAAAATAATGTTCAGCTTTAACTTCTGTAAATGCGCTTATGTATAATTAAGGATTTATGTAAAAAAAGGTAATGCTTCGTTTGTATATCATATCACTGACAGGTAGTTAACTGTCGCTTACCTCAAAAACAAGACCAAAGGTGAAGGTCGAGGTTGAGGTCAAGTCGGCATATATTTGCTACGGCAGAAACCCTGCGGTTGCAATGTGGCCTTCAAATGAAGGCGCATTGTAGCAATAATGGCGGCCGAAGGTTTGCAATTGACCGTAAAAATATTAGACAGTATGGTGACTGGCGAGGCATTGTCTATGCTGTGTTTACCCGTAGTATATTATAAAACGGCTCTGTGATATACTTGTTTCATACTTTAACTAGTACCTCTGATTCTTTATAGGCGAACATATATTATTACCAATGAATGTAATATATTCTTATTTTTATTATGTAAAGTACATAGAAATATAAATACGCATATTAATCTTTAGAAAAAGACGAGCGTTCATAAAACACTGCAGGTTCTGTTATACCATCATGTGCCAAAAAATTAAAATTATTACGTAATTTGGTGATCGTGTTTTCGATCACTAACAAAAGCGATGGCCAGTTTCTTCCAAACGTTATGAAATAGGACTACTTTTAATATGTACTCATATTTAGGCTAGCACTAACTTCCGTTTTAGTATAAAATAGTCGAAAAACAATATAGAATCTTGGTGGATCGATGTTCATCCATTTTGATTCGAGTGGGCCCTCATGTCACAAAGTGTTTGTAAGGTAGCCTTAGGCCAAAAAGAAAGTTGATGATATATGCAAAAGTAAAAGGTTTGCCTAATGTGCCACGATATATTGATACCAGGTTTATTGAGAATCAATTATATTTACTCTTGATTTATAATCATATATGTCAATACCATTGGATTGAATCTCAGGGTCCAATCTCGATACACTGCCATATATGGAGATGTCATGATTATAAGCCGCCATTTTGTTCACTTCAAATTCTGAATCGTAAGTTTTGGTGTTATTTTCAAAAAAGCCACATACATGTAAATGATCGAGATATTGGTTCGAATCTTTTGGACTATTGATTACGAATTTATAGTTAGTTATAATGTCAGAAAAAAGCGAAATTCAGACATTTTCATTGTTGGAAAATATCAAGTTGCGTCCCTTCCATGGGAGCCAATCTTCCTTGAACCTATCTCGATCAGATTCACTCATTAGATTTATTCCATAATTGTACATACGCATAGATGGTCATATTGATTAATTGGACTCATTTATTTTAGTCTGAATGTATTTTACTAGTATGTAATAAATATCAACATTAAATATTAAATAAATAAATACCCGATTTTCTTTAAATGTTTACATGTGATAAACTGATTGTATTAATTTTAGAGCTTAGTAACACTATGGCGTTTTGGATATTTTTAAATTTGTTTTGGCAAGGCGATTTAAACACAACTATCGGTTCTAATAGACCATGATTAGCTTTGTACTCATTATACCTTGTTACAGAGTAAATAATGTGTACAGGATATGTTTTATACTTGAACAACTTTAAAATCGTAATAGCTCTTCCAGTATTCTGAATTTTGTAAACAAATTTCGACTTTGCTCAGACAGTTTCCCGTACTTGCTGTATACGTAACACGATGGCAAATGTTTTCCTTTACCTTTCATTTATCACGTTCACATGTAAAACATCTTCGCAAACACTAAACTTAATTAGCAAATGATTATGTATAGAATATAAGATAATAGCCCAGGAGTGCTACAAGAAAAGAAGGGAATTTTCAACATTTCATCAAAATTTATGACATATCATGTCTTAAGCACTTTTTATAAGCATGAATTATATCATTTTGCTATTTTACTGTTCTAAACTATCATTTAACATTTGTCAAATTAGCGAAAATTAGATCATTAGTCAATGGGTACAAATATAATACGTTCTATCGGCAGATTTGGAAGTTAATGAATCATTATCTGAACTAATTCGTATAATGGAATTAAGAATTCATCGTTTGCAGCAGCCATTTTATTACGTTTAATTATGTAACCGTTTAAAGTAGGGTAATAGTAGCCTCGGGAGAAATGTCACGATGCCATACTTCATGATATAAACTTGAAAACCATACTCCATAACTCAACGTTTGATGAAACATGTCAGTGTTTAAGTGTGTTTATGATGTGTTTATAGAACACACTAACCGATATTTTATTCAATGTAAACCCAAGTGCGCAGAAAATAAATGAGGCTCTGTTGCAAAATGAAGTCGAATTAAAATCGAATAAACTGGGACCTAATCTCGCATCCCCATAAACACTACCACTCTAGATTTCATCCAGAAAATATGTACCCTAGCTTTTTTAACTTAAGTAACTGCACTTTGTCGTTACACACATTGCAAAACCCTTTTGTTGGAGCTTATCGTGAAAAAAATAATTTTGATGTTTTCAGAATTTCAACTTCTACTTTACTGATTGCACAATCTACTAACTTCTACTTGGTTTTGAATTCAGTGTCAGTGCAAACCATTTAATATTCCTTGAAGTGGAAAAATGTTTGAACCTGCACGTTCCACTTACTCATACAATCAATTAGACATTTACTTATTTAATACAATTGTGTTTATATATTGTTGAATGCATCTTTTAGTTATTATTAACATTTATTCAACAACAGTTGTACAATGCCACGCGTCTTCTATTCTTATGTAGGCATAAAACAAAGATATGGTCTCGTAGGTCATTGTATTTTTTTGAAAAATAAATATTTTGAGAAACGGTACCATGGGGTGACTTCTGACTTGTTTCTCACGAGCATTGCACTTGCTTGCTTAACCCCTTGAATGCCAGAGTATTTTTTAAGTTTTGCAATTTTAGTACCAATATCAAGGGTTTCAAACTTGCTCGCAATGTATCAGCTTTCATCTATACTTACACTCCCCTCCATAAGTTTGGCAACCTTTTTTCCTCATTGAACTACGTGTTAAAGCCTCTTTACGTTTGAATTTTTATTTACTTCACCGGCGATGAAATAACTTATAATATTGATGGAAACGTAACTTGACTTTATTTCCAATACCTCCAAATTTTCTCAATTTTTTTCTCACTTACAATAGGTCGAAAATTGATGATAAATTTGATGAATTTTTGAAAATCGTCATTCCCATGTAATCCAATGGGAAATGGAGGGTTCGGGGTAAATCAGAAATCAGGATATCTTTTCAGTAAAAGATTCAGCAAAAAATATTTTTATATAGAAAATTGAATTGTCTAACTTTTTTGAATGCTAAGTGATAAGTTTATTTGATGAATATTAAAGTTACAGCGCTTCAAACTCATTTTTGAAAATAATTTTTCGCCTCCTGTGTTATTTCAATGGGAGAGGTTTTTTGAAAAACAATTTTGACTTCAAAGCCCTATAACTTTGTTGAACCTGAAGAAACATATCAATTTTTTGTTAAATAAAGTTAGCTAATTCAATTGCCTGCCTAACTCGTATTTTTTGCAAGGACTCGGATGGATGGATATTCTGTCATATGACTTGCGGCAAACCTACCATTTCCCATTGGTTAACATGGAAATGTCGATTTTCCAAAATTCATCAAATTTATCATCAATTTTCAACTTATTGTAATTGAGGAAAAAAATTGAGAAAATTTGGAGGTATTGGAATTAAAGTCAAATTACGTTACCATCAATAGTATAAGTATTTTCATCGCAGGTTAAGTAAATAAAAATTCAAAGGTAAAGAGGCTTTAACACGTAGTTCAATGGGGGAAAAAAGGTTGCCAAACTTATGGAGTGGAGTGTATATGGTAAAGCAAAAGAAAGTCAGTATTTGAAAGTTTAATTAACAGCATTGCCGAATACTCAGAATATTAAGCTAGCGGGCTTTTAAATTTGAGATATCGTATTGCTGTTTTTAAATGTTCTTTAACCTCCCAAACAATAAATAAAACTTAAAATCTAATTGCAGAATGCGAACATCAGAACATTGAAGGATATACATGGCAAAATTGGAAACATTACATTTTCTCAATCAATATGAAATTTGAGATAATTGACCAGCTTTGTGAAGATGTCAAAAATACTGTTATTTTGGCTCTTCCATTCCTACTTATCAAAGTGGTCGCAATTTTTGTAAAAACTTCTGCGTCTGGTTTCCAGTCGTTCTGGGTAGGAATGGGGTTAAATAATGCGTCACGTCCTATGATTAATTCAACGGGAGTGGAATCGCATCACAGTTGCAGTTGAAGACAACCACACATGTGAAAGTTAAATAAGCTAATATATCGGTTCACGGTGACTTTTGAAAGTATCCGATTGCACAGGTTGTTCAATGAGTCATTTTCAGATTTGAAAGTAACGGTGTTTCAAAACGACCATAGAAACCTTTTTCGAATAGCAACTTTCAAAACGTCCGTTTTCAATTTTTTTATCAATTTTATTGTTCCCGTTTCAGTGTTAAATTTTCCTAGGTACAGTAACATATAAATGGTAGTGTTTAATACGTAGTCCAAAGGAGTAGTCTTACATGTTGCTTTTCAAGTATGTTAGTACTCCCTTTATGTACAATCTACAATATATTGAATCACTCCTACCACGAGTCTCAAATACCAGGTTATGAGACAGTTGCACCATTGCCGTATGTATGATAATACAATTGTTATTTTGGCACTGCCAATTTATTAACCATGCAGTAGTTTAATACACTAATATGCACAAATATGCAAGATATTTAATCTACAGAATTTGTTTGGCACCGGTGCCATCATATTTACTCTAGCAAGTTCTGCCAATGATTTATCCAATCTTTTAGTCTCTTTTATTTGTTGTCTTGTTTAAAGACATTGGGATTGAAAAGATGTTGATCAATTTTAGGCAAAAATACCATTCTAAAGACTGAATGGATAGTAACGCTATGCTATTAAGATGTTTTCAGCCAGAGAAATTGTATTTTTGCCAAAATCAATTCTGTCAAACCAAAATCAAAGGCCAATTTCCCAAAGCATTTGGCCCATGTTATCAAGGGGTTTGGTATTTTGGAGAGTGT